AATTTCAAAACGACCACCTGCTTTCTAGATAGCCTGGAGTCACCGCACTAGTAAACTATAAATTTAATCCTTATGGTTTGTCAAAAATAACAATTTTCGTTCTTGCAGTTTGGAAGTTTTAAGTTAGCTATTATGGTTTGTAAAAACCTCCAGATTTGATCCGTTCCTTTAACGATCGTTAAAAAAAATCCATCAAGTAAAAAGGATTTTTGTTTTTATCGATTTAATTGGCTTTTAGCAGTTCAAAAACCACAAAAACTAAAATCATAAAATTAATTTTGATTGGGTAACGGTAAAAAAAAACCCTACAAAATGACGAAAATGGTTGCAATTAACGGAAGTTTTAACGGTTGTGTTAAAAAGAGGGATCAAATCTGGATATTTTTGCAAACTATGATAGTTATATTGTAATTTCAAAACTACAGAGATGAAAAGTATTAGTTCTGTCAATCCATAGGGACCAAGTTTGTGGTTTCCTCAAGCAAAATTATATTAAAAAAATGTAATTATTTCATAAAAAAATGATATATTTCATGCGGAATTGATTTTATAACAATTGATGATGTGGATATCATGTTTATCGTGTCTATGCAGTAACTCGTTGTAAATATTTTGTAACCGTACATAAACAAATATCGATGTCATTAAATATTACAATATCAACATGTTACCGGTTAAAATTGATACAAAATAAGATATTTTAATACTTAATTACATCAGTTTACAGAAAAAATATTCTCCGTTACATTAAATAAGAATAAATCCAAGTTTCTTTTTCCATTTCGTCTTTCAATAAATTATTATAAATGCATTAAAGGGTAAACGACAGTATTTTCTTTTCATCTTTTTCAATACGGTTTTACATGTCTTCTTGAAAATTATAAAGTAAAAGAAATATGCATATAATGATAACTTTGTAGATACAGATGGAAAATCAGGCTGCTTCCTTCCCTGCTTTGGTAGATAATCAGAGGGTGACAAAGACTAAGGGATCGTTTACCAAACACTTAATCGGTAAGCGATTACCAATAAAATTCAACATTATAATTTACTTACCTGGTAAGATTTTAGTTCACGAAAACGACATTGTATGCAACAATTTACCCGGTAAGGGCTTACCATGGTAAGAGTCATCGCCCTCACTTACCGCGTAAGACTCTTTTCCTTGTCTCGCTCTTACCAGGTAAGGTAATGTGACTCGGTAAGCTCTTGCCCAAATAAGAGTTTGGTAAATGGCCCCTAATTTTCTATATGTAAAACGGGTTTGGAATGGATCTGAGAAGATACGATTCACCCCTAATCCAATCAGCTTCCATATCCTGTATGGATTTCTTCTGCCTGAATCTAACAGTGATTAGATGGGACTGGGTCATGGAGGGGGTGCATTCTCCACCCTGTTTCCATCCCTATTTTTATCAGGTGCGTATATGCACAATAGTTAAACCGATGTCATATTGATTTTTCATCAAGATGGTAACTCTATGATGGTTGTGTACAAACGTATAATATTCTTACAATAGAAATATTAAATATAAAGTTACTCCCTCCGTTTTCAAAAATTCAAATTTTTAGTTGTTTGACAAAAAACGTATGTTATATATATCATGTTTTCCATAAGATTTCAAACCAACATTACCATAAAAATGTTTTTTTTTTCCACGGGGCTGTAAAAATAAGATATTGTTAACTCACTTATAAATAGTGATAGCCAAAAACCAGTCTTGGGCTGGGTCTAATCGGTTCCGAACTTTCTTATAACCGGCCACAACCGGTCCTGGCGTAACCCGGTTGAAAATGGTAAGACCGGTCAAGATACTTCATAACCGGTTATGGGACGCCGGTCCCGACATTAAAAAATAAGATTTTTTTAAAGATATATATTTTAATACATTATAAAATTTACAATTGGTTCACTCAAATACGCTTTAAAAATGCGTTTTAATATAATTAAAATTACATTGTCTTATAAAAATACATTATAAAATTATTTAAAAATATATTTATTTATAAAATTATTTGAATTTTTAGGTCGGATCGAGCCAGTCCATAGCCGATCCCATAACCAGTCCCGGTCCCACGAAACTACCAAAAACCCCAACCGGTCCCGGTTTTCGGTCCCTTAAACGGTCCCAAGTCAGGCCGGGCCGGGCCGGACCGATTTGGCCATCACTACTTATAAATAAGTACATAAAATAACACACATTATTATTTTTTTTAATAAAAACTTTAAATCAGAGAATTATATGTTAAATTAAACGTTGTATTTAAAGCACTAAAAACCTAGAGAAATGAAAAACAAAGTAGGAATTAGGAATCAAACCCTAACATTTAGCAAGCTTTTGTTAATACGTTTGCTTATAGTACAAATCATGATTAAATTTTATCGAAATCACATGACGTCACGTGACTGTGAGTCCATGTGAGAAAGCAAACAACGTCACCAAAATAAAACCATTAGATAAATACAAAAAACAGAGAGATACACACGTACAACAAGAAACTGTTGAAATTAAAAGCGACAATAGCATCTGACCTTATTTTGCTCGCTCATACTACTAAAAGAAACGAAGTAGCACGCACGACCAGTCGTGGTACATTTTTCTTTCTTCCAACGTATCATTTTTTTTCTTCTTAACATTTAGGAATCGAGACACCACAAGCCGAAGCAACCTTCTTGGCGTTTGGAGAGTTAATGTATTGTTTAAGACTAGGGTTCTTTACATAGCCACAGAAACAAGGTTGTTGTGCTTTCAACTTGCCGCAACAAGCCTTAGACGGTGGTGCCCCACTCGAGAGGAACCCAGCACATGGCAACAAATCTTGTGGGTTGCACGTTGCCGCATTCGCCTTCTGGGTACTACTCAAAAGCACAATCATCATAACACACAAAATAATGAAAGAGAACGACTTGTTCATTGTTTCAAAACAGATAAAAAAGAGTCGGAACTATAAAAAGGAGAGACGGTGATTTGTGATTCGGTTTAGTGTTTCGGCACATAATTTATAGAGGTTTTTTTTGTGTTTTTTGAGGGTTATTTAATAGTTATGGTTATGAATGTGGAGAAGGGTATGTGGCATAATAAAATTTCATATGTTTATTGACTTATAAGTGTCAAAACATAAATGATTGGGGTTTGGTCTTCTAGCAATACGGGTATGCTTCACTTTCGAGCTTTCTTTGGGGCAAAAGCATTTGTGACCCTTTACCAAACTTTGACCGAATAAAAGTCGATACATCGATTTTTAACACAAGTAAAATCCGGAAGTTGTCTAGAGATTAAGGTGGCGTTTGGTTCGCAAAATGTTTTTGAATTTGTTAAAGGAATTTGACTGTGAAGGAATTGAAATGGAATGTTCTCAGGTTTGACCACATGTTTGGTTGGCAGACACTGGAATGGAATTTGTTAAGGTATTGGGATCTGTCTGTTTGGTTTACATAATGTAGCTTTAGAATTGAAATAAAATATTGGTAAATGACCATAATGCCCTTTTTTTGAAAACTTTAATTTTTTTAAAGCTAAAAATACTTTAATAAAATAATTATTTAATATGTAAAAAAATATAAAATACACAAGCCAAATATAACCATAAGCCAAACGATGTTACTAAATCGACGGTGGTTCAGATCGATGATGGTCCGCAGTGGTTCAAATGGAGGTGGTCAGCTGTGGTTGTTCAAATCGGTGGTGGTCGCCCGACGGTGATTCAGATCCATGGTAGTTGTCGGTGGTTGGCAGTGATATAGATCGATGGTGGTCCGTTGCGGTTCAGGTGACGATGGTCGTATGTGGTTCAAATCGACGATGGATCAGATCGGTGGTTGTTCAGATCGGTGATGGTCAATGATGGTTTAGATTGTCAGTGTTTCAGATCGATAATAGTTGGCGGTCAGATCGATGGTGGTCCGTGGTGGTTTAGATGGCGATGGTCGACAGTGGTTCAGATCGGTGGTGGTCCATGGTGGTTCAGATGGCGGTTATAGGCGGTAGTTCAGATTGACGGTCAATCTGATCAGTGGTGACTCAGATCGGCGGTGTCGATGGTGGTTTAGATCGGTAGTGGTCAGCGATGGTTTAGATCAGTAGTGGTCGGCGGTGATTCAGATCGGTGGTAGTTGGTGGTGGTGGTCGACGATGGTTCAGATCGGTGGTAGTCGGTGGTGGCGGTCAGCGGTGGTTCAGATCGGTGGTGGCGGTCGGCGGTGGTTCAGATCGTTGGTGGCGGTCGACGGTGGTTCAGATCGGTGGTGGCGGTCGGCGATGGTTCAGATCGGTGGTAGGCGGTGGTGGTGGTCGGGGGTGGTTCAGATCGGTGGTGGCGGTCAGCGATGGTTCAGATAGGTGGTAGGCGGTGGTGGTGGTCGGGGGTGGTTCAGATCGGTGGTGGTGGTCCGCGGTGATTCAGATCGATAGTGGTCGGAGGTGGTCGACAATGGTCATATTGAGTTTTATGAGATTAGAGTATATTAGGTTAAATGCATATTTGGTATAATGAAGATAGAGATTTCATTCCATCAAAATACTATGTAGTTGCTAAGGAATGTTAAATTCCTTTATTTGTGGAATTTGTAGGATTTTGAAGATTCCTTTCGTGAAAAAAAAAAATGAATCAAACAAGGAAGTGGAATATGGTCAATGAAATTCAACATTCCAATTCCATCGATTTCCTCCTGAATCTGCAAACCAAACTCCACCTAATCGTTTTTTCTATTCATTGATCAGTTAACAATTACATAAGTAATCGAATGTCTTTTGTTTTCCTCAGGGCACATGAAACTTACACACTTCCAACCTTCATTTATTTCGAATTAAGTCAAACCAGCTGATGAAAAGTTTAATTAATTGTTAAGTCACAGCAAATAGTCGAGATATGGCTGAGCGAATACGCGTACCGTTTTGTTTTGATGTTGATGGATAAATTTTGTTCGATCTTCGTACTCGTGAAGATATACGTTTATTATGTTGATGGGCGTGATGATATAGGTCTGCTCTTTTACATTCTAGAAACGAAATTAATCAATCTAACGTTAAAAAGAATAGAAGTAGAAAAATAACAAAACTTATGTGGTCTCTGGGGTTTACAAGGAAACGAAAACAAAACTTAAAGAGTTGGCGAAAGTTCTTCGCTGCTTTTGTTTTTTCCCCTCAGCATGTCAGTAAAACCACCTCTCATGATTCTCCGGAATCTTGTGTCTTCGGCTGGTGATGGTGGAGTGATGGTAAGTTTGGGACGAATGCCAAGATCGGGGGGTGGCGGTGGCGGTATTTCGATCGAATCCTTCTTTCCGAGCAGCCCACCTTCACTAAAGAAACTGGTCATGGAGGACGGCAGCCCAAACTGGCTGCCCATTACCTTGCTGAAAGTGTCGAAAGCTCCACCGGACCTCTCCTTGACTATGATTTCAAGAGCCTCCTTGTGTGCTGGATCGAGTGCATCTGTATCTTTTAATAGGTTTTGAATTGTTGGCATGAGCAGATCCCGGACACTCGCAGCTGAAATATCTGCAAGAAACGGTTATTTATATTACTTCTGTCACAGAATTGACGACCAATTTTTTCCAAAACTATGTCATCGTCGCCATAACAAGAGGGTTTGTAGAAATGTCTAAATGTCCTAATAGACTTTTTGATGGGACATAAGTTTTTATGGGTTCTATGTAAAAGTATTACAATAAGTTTATACAATGTTTTTGGGCGTCTTAACAAGTTTTTTAGAACATGTCTTATTAATTGTTTGACATTATCACTGTCTTAAAAAAACAATTTCCTCTTTTAATGAAATTACCAGTGTCTTGCAAAAACAATTTCCTATAAAACTTTTCAATAATTTCTATAAAAAAATTTATATGTAACTTTATTCTAAAACCATCTTAAAAAGTTTATACGTCCAAAAGTATCACATAAACTTTTTTTTGAAGCATCAGCAAATTGGATTCACACACATTTGTCACCTTTGGTGAGGCTTGAACTCTTGACCTCTAAGAAGGTTGGGTTACCGGATTCTGCTAACCCAAAGGTCATTTGGTATCATATAAACTTATTGTAACACTTTTACATATATTCACAATTGTTAGGTGTTATAAAGTTAAGTCCTATAAAACAGTCTTCTTAGGACATTCAGACAATTCTTGTGTCTTATAACAAGATTCCGTTGTAGTGTGTGCTAAGCAAGGTTCTAGAGTTATTTCAAGAAGTTCGTCTTCCTATAGATGAACTTTTTCAAGGATGAATGCAGAAGATGTGGAAAATCTTGCCAATTGTGGAAAGAAGCAAACCTGTAGCATCGAGAGCACGGATTGCTTCGCAAAATGCATTGGATCTCTCACGGCGATGCACCATGTTGCTTGTAGGCAGTGGAGTTGTAGAAAGATGAAATATCTTTGATAACAAATGTGCACTGTGTCAAAGAAACAATTATTGAAAACATGTATAAACTGATCTATCATTTCTCCATTTTGTGGTTCTCTTTCATTTCTCTGATGGTCACCAGTTTGAGTCCCCTCATGACCTATGGGATTAGTTAAGGTGTGTGCAAGCTGACCTGGACATGCACGGTTATCCAAACAATATAAGGACTTGCTAGCCACTACCAAGAAAATGAAGATGTTAAACGGCAAAAACAAATTGTATTAATAGAATTATAGAAGATTAAAGGATATAATCTCTTAGGCTCTCCGTTGTGTGTGGTACAGCCACCACTAATGCACGAATAACGGCAATCATAGCTTCATGAGATCCATCTTCAAGAAAAGCATCCATTTGAACCCGTATTTTGTCAACAATCTACCAGAAATAAACTTTGGTCAGCCACTTGCGTAAAGAGAAACCGGAAGGCATTACCATAAAGAAAAATCACTGTTACTAAGAGTATCAATTTACCACATCATTTTTGAAGTTCTGAGCCACAGTTCCAAAGGCATCGATGCTTGCATACAACACATGTAAGTTTGTTTCAGACCCCAAAGTTACAAGAGCAGGCAAAACATGCGTTGAAGCAACTTTTGCATCGATAAATGGTACCTATTCAAATCAACGAGATTAAAGATTCAATAAAGGTAAAAAAGTGAGAAACAGTAATTCAACCTGGAACTGGACTTACAATCACTTTCAGAAGTTTGGCAGCATTGATTTTTAAATCCATATCGGAGCTCACAACCATTTCCCATAAGATTCTGAAAACCATATTCTGGTGTTCTTCAAACATGCTGCACAACAATGGTGAAAAGAAACAACGTAATCCAAGCCCAGCAATAAACTCAATAACAGAATCAATCGAGGAAATACCAACCAAAGGAAACGGACAGCGTTGTAAATATCAGCACTATGCATTGCTGACTGACCCTCCTGTGCAGCACTTTGTACCAAGAGATTCCTCAAGTATTCTGTTAATAGTTCCTGCTTGCTAGGGGCTCCAAGGACACCTGCCAAAAGAATCGGTAGGACACACAAGGTGGCAATTCTCTCGGCTACAGTAGTTTTTGGTCTTAGACCTGAAGCAGTAAAAAGAATCAGTCAGCGTGGATTATTAAGAATATTTGTAAATAAGTAGAATGGGTAATAGCGGAACCCGGATTACCGGTAGAGACCAGGCTCCCTGGAGGTCAAGGGTTTAAACCTCACCAAAAGGCATAATCATATATATATATATATATATATATATATAGAGAGAGAGAGAGAGAGAGGCATAATCATTTGCTACCAATTACTAGTACTAACCTTATAAACTCATATGAGCCGTTCATTCTTTTGATCAACAGTTTGGAGGTAAAAATTGATGAAAAAGAAAAAGAATTAAAGGAAGGGAATATTGGAACAAATTATGATCTATTTTTGGAAGATAAATGTGGTTACTTTTGGAAGAGAAATGCAACTACTTTTGGAATTAGATTTCGTTCCTTTATCCGTTAAATTTGGTTTTTATTCCATTGATCCGTTATATTTGGTTTTTTATTCCATTTATCCGTTAAATTCGGTTATTTTTTGGAATTAAATTCCTTTATGTTCGTGTATGAACTTTGTTTGTTCCAAAAAGTTTTACCAAAGCTCATAGGTGAAACAGAAAGTGAATGATATAATTAAGGTGGTTTAAACAAAGTTCATAGACGAAACAATCATATTTGTTTAAAGTGTGCTTCATGTATGAACTCTGATTGTTCCAAAAATTACCAAAGTTCATAGGTGAAATCAGAAAGTGAATGAAATAATTAAAGAAGTTTACACAAAGTTCATTGTTGAAACCAAAAGTTCACAGGTGAAACGATGATTTTTGTTTAAAATTCATAGGTGAAACGATGAGTTTGTTTGAATTTCATTACGGTTTTGTTTTAAAATGGTAAGTGAATTCAGATAATTAAGAAATGTGATAATTAAGTGAATGAGATAATCAAGAAATGTGGTATGAATATATGAAAAAGACGAAAATAACCCGGTTAGCACAGTTTGTACTAATTAAGCAGTTAACAATGTGCCCCCTTCTCTCACTCTCTCTCTCTCTCTCTCTATATATATATATAGAGAGAGAGAGAGAGGGATGATTAAACGAGAACAAGGTCAAAATAAGAAAACACAAAAACTGCCAAATCACATGTGCCTTTGCACTAAAATCACATGCGATTACGGAACACAGTTAACGTCAGGGGTGAGCAGGCGACTCACGTGAATCACATGTGATTTTACACATGATTCTAGTGCAAAATTACATGTGATTTGGCCGTTCCGTGTTCTCATATTTGGTCATTGTTCTTGTTCGAACCCAACTCTAGTAAATTTCCAAAAGAGAATAGCATTATCAGTGAAAATTTCAACCTTGGACTTTTGACTGAGCTGTAGGGGGGAAGCATGCCAAACCAGCACTATCGCCAACCGCCACCAAAAATATAGGCAGCATTACATGTGTGAGATAATCATCACCAAATCGTCCAGAAACTGCCAGCAGAAACTGGGATAACAAATCATGAACTGTTAAGAGCTTGCTTAGAAGATATGGACATGATATAAAAAGCGAAAGTGTGGAAAATAAGTACACTTGAGATCCGGTTTCTCAAACCATCTTCCTTTGTTGGTAATAGAGAGACAATCTGAATCAGACTGGAAAAGCAGTCATCTCGAAGCCACTCAAAAATAGGCCAATCTACATTTCCCCTGTCGAAAATGTGAACGCAGTAATTTTTAGGTGTTGATGAACATTTCTTGGAAAAAGAAACAATCCTTGTTGTAACTCACTCTGCATATTTTTCAAGCAATGGCATTGAAAATGACGATCCTTCGGAATCTGAAACAGATGGATATGGACATGTCTCAATAGATATCTGGTGTACAATTGGAAGCAATTCCAACAGTACCCGCATTAAAACATCAACGGTCCAACGCTCTCTTTCTCCTAAAATACGGAAGTGTGACTCCACAGAACCTTCAACCCCTGAAAGAGGTGGGCAACGCTGAAGAAAGACCATGTAAGGGACTACGTTTACAAGATGTTGGTTGGTCAAAAGATAACAACTATTGGTTTGAAATTTTCTTGTACCTCAATGGAGGTCAATATGTGAGAAAGTAACACTTGTAGAAGGTGATCCAACTTCTTTCCCCACTTCAACAAAGCAGGAACTAGTTCTTTGATCGTTGTTTCTACAACCACTCCAGATGGATCACTAACTAACTGGAACATCACTTCCTCCACCTAGAAACATAACAAGAAAAGATATCGGGAAAACGGAATATCATATTCTTCCAATTTCCTTTCATATTTGTTTTTTTAAGTCACCATATTATGATCATGGGAAAATGCTACATTCCCTAGACCATGTAGCTTACATTGTAGAAATCCTGTCAAGTCAGAAATCTTCTCCATGATAGCCTCGAAGCATATTTAGTGAGGCTGACCTTGAAATATTTATCCATATTTGGGAAGAGTGGAAGCAGCAAAGCCAGATTATGGGCAGCAGCCTCGCGAACTACAGGTGCAGAATCCTCTACCAGCTGTTGCACAATAGATAGGATGAGGGAGTCGCGGATCTCTGGACGCACAAATTCTGCAAGTTCCCCACATGATTGAGCAACAAGCAACCTGCGCTCCTCATACATGTGACTAATCTGCATAGCACAAAATAAGTATTAAAATGAAATCTTGTTATCAAAACATGGCAAGGAAAATGAAGAGAAGTCTCACTTGCTCCCAACACTGCGGCAGCAACTCTGTTTCTGTTCGCATCTCTCCCACATTCTTAGCAAGGGTGACACAGGCCTGAATAGAAAAATAATATGTGGCACTAAGACTTTACAAACACAACAAAATCTAACAATCTATGTATTCAAAACCTACATCCATAATAATCCTTCTTTGTTTTTCATCTGGGCGCTTAATCAAGTTAAACAATGTGTGAGTCAAGGAATCCCTTGTGTGGCTATCTGGATGACGCTCAATTGCACACATCATGAGAGGAAGAAGCTCCTATAGGAAAATAACAACAATCAATGCAAGAGGATTTGTGATTCTTGGAGAGTTTAATAGTTCATTATGAAGAAAAAGTGGAAGCAAGTTGTTCAGTAACCTCTCGATGATTGATCAGCACATAAGGAACAATTTTAGGCAGCGCATCTGAAAGAATCTGAATTGTTCCAGGACCCTGAGTAATTAAATTTGCATAGATAAGATTGATTTTATGAAATACTAATCACTAATCGAGTTTTTAGAGCATTGATGGCAAAAGGTTACCTTCTCAGAAAAATGTTCAACAACAGGACTAGTTGACTCTGGAAGCGATCCATTATCAGTTACGACAGGCACAACATTCTCTTTGGGGGAATTCTCAGCTACATCAGTAACATAGTTATCATCTGATTTGGAAAATTCTTCATGTTTATCAGCAATACTGTCTATGTTCTGAATTGTCACGTTCTCAGACCCCACACTTTCTAAATTTCCAGAAGGACTACCACTCAATAGTGGTACCATATCATTTTCACATAATTTTATTACTTCATCTTTTCTATCAGTTATATCTTCCACGCTATTTATGGATCCTACAGGTTCCGCATCAGTTGATTTGATAGCATTCAGCCTCTCAATCTCCTTCTGCAGTGATTCTATTTCTTCCTTGTAGCTTTCGAGGGATGGTGCTTGCCCCTCTTCTACACCACCAGATGCTGTATCTTCTGTTGGTCGAGCTCTTTCCATGTGCATTTTAAGTGAACTTATTTCAGCTTTGCAGCCATTCAATTCTTTTTTCCGCTGTTCTAGTGACTGCTTTAGATCTTGAACCTAAAGCATAAAGAGTTCATACATGAGTGACCGCAAGTACACAGTATCAGATAGGTGTTGCTTGATGCAGTAATTAATGTGTGATTAAAGTACCAGATTCTCTTTCTCCTTGATATCCCTCTGTAAACTCTCCAATGACTTCTTTAAAGCCACAGCCTGAGCATCAGCCAAATCTCTGCTTCTCAACAAGGACTGCTTTTCATGTTTGAGCTTATCATTTTCCTTCAGCAATGATTCATTCTTCTTAAGCATGGAAAACTTCTCCTGAAGAATAGGCACTGTCTTGAGATATGCAGTTCACCATCGGTATATCACAGTTCTATGACATTTTTGTATTCTACAAAATACTTCTTACTGTTTACTTATTGGTGACCCAAATAAAACTCATGATTATTGTATTTTCTTTTATAAAGCACTGCCCAAAAACAAGATAATTCAATAGTTTATAGTAACGTCAAGTTTTAGCTGTGTCTTCAGTAACACTTTCTGAAAATGAAGACATACAAATACAAGTATTTTAGACGTAGTCGAAAAAAGTTCAACAATCACTAAATCAGCATATAGGAAAGAGGACTGATATGACACCAAACAATTGTGGAAATGACTGAAATATTTTTGGGCATGTGCTTTAGGAGGGACACAACTTCTTGCCTTGAGGAAAACAAGCACTTTTGCTCTAGCGATCATATAAAGCAATCCCTTAGAATACATGAGAAACAAGTAAATACAAGCATCAATATTTAAAAGCATAAGATGAGCTCATATGTTATATGACAGGTTGTCCTAAGAATAAATGAGAGACAAGTTGTATGACCATAAGGTAAGCTGCTTCAAGAAGTACCTCAGCTGCTTCCGTAGTGGAAGATAGGTACTGATAATAGTAATGGCGCAAGGCATCTGGCACAGATGCAAATGAGTTCTGCCACTCATCTAGATTCTGGTCACTAACCTGCAGTCATGACAAAGGATTTTCAACAATGTTTGGCAACCCTTGATACATCATGATGTTGAAAAAAAATACCTCTTATTAACCGTTATGTCTTTACTCAATAAGAGGTTAGACTTATAAGACTTTTTTTTCAGTCATAAGGGGTTAAAACGTCTTATCGGGTAAGAGGTAAACCCACGTCCTATTAGCCTCTTATTATCCCCTTGTTTCCCTAAAAGGCTAAACAAAAAAACAAAAACAAAAAAATATGGAAACCCTAAAAAACAAGATGTAAACCCTGCTCTCTCTTCCCCTCTCACCATTGGCAACAATATTTCCCCAAAAACCATCATATTTTTCGACCAATATTGGCCTCTGCCGCCAGCTATTCGACTGAAGAACCACCGACAAGCAAGCCAGAAATCGAGCTCGAGTTTATAGGGGTAAATCAATTCATTGGCAGTTTTTTTTCCTTTTTATAACATGTTTTAAACAATAAATAAATTTGTATTGTGGTGGTGTTGTTATGAAATGAAGCCAAAAGCTGGTGGTGATGGGAAGTATCCACTAGACAGAGTGGCTGCGTTGAGCAGAGAGAAGCTCCTAAGGACCATTATGGCGGATAACAAACTTGAGCTTTACGACTTGTACCATGACAATGGAACATTTGAGAATTGAGAACATCTAAGATATACAAGTCCCAATAGCACTAAACTCATACTCTTAAAAAATACCAACACTTCATATTTTGATTTTCAATGAATCAACTTATTATATGTGATAAGTTTTAATTAGCATTTTTTATTTGTTGGTCATAGTTTTTTAATATTGTTTTTTTATTTTGCTTACACATTCAAACATTTATCGGTTCACAAAAACAAACAACCTTATCAATTTTGTTTTCAGTTTTCAGCACCACCCCTTATCTTTAACAGGTGAAGTAAGACCTCAGATTTCAACACCTCTTAAGAAACAAACAACACCTAAGAGTATTTAGGTATGCAAAATAACTTTCCATGTACAAGAAATATTCCTATCAGTATGTTTCTTCTGCTTTTAAATAGACTCATTGGCAAAAGAAAAGCCATTGGTTTAAGCTAAAGTAATTAGAAGAGTATATACATGCTATACAAACATACCTGTAACAGAACTAAGCACACTGTGAATTAGGTTATACTAATTTGAAATTGCAATGTTGTTGATGGGAAAAAGGAAAATTACAGCTGGTATATTCTTCATTGAAGACAAACATTGGTCGTACTTATAATGGAAGATTTCGATATGGATGTAGCTGCATCTATCTCTTCAGTTGGACAGAGTTTAGAAAGGCAAAGGGCTATCATTATAGTGTGAACCAAAGGTTCTGGCTTCCATCGTGTGACCTAAGAATGCATGGAATGATGGAACTGAATCTTTCATGTGGTTAAAGAATAATATTGTTGGGAAAAAGAGGAACTGGAAATTGATGTAATATGACCACAGTGTACACATCAACAAACTTCTAAAAGTAAGCTGAGACAATTTTCCGAACATAACTATCACTGCTCATTCTAAAGCCATTATAATAAGAACGCAGGGACAGGACAACCCTTTTCCCTTTTACATCACTTATCTAGAAGACCGTTTTAGGTTGATCAACTAGGTCATAGGGTCACTCTACACTTGCAAATCCCCATGTAAAGGTCCTCGATCGATACATGACAGAAGCTTCCATTCAAATTTAAAAGAATTCCCTACTTTTCTGCGTAAATCATGTTATGTGAGTCGTTTCCATTGTAGGTCAGTGAGATAAAGACAGCAACAACGTATTTGAAGTTTGATGCCACATCTGGCTAGGCAAGACTGAGAGAACACACTTTCATTCATTGGCATGTTCAATACGCGTCACACGACAATCCATATGGAAGGAAAGTTTTGTGCATGTGACAATGGAATGGACCTGCTTTTGTAAGTAAAAGCAAAATTTTCTACCATGTTGGAGGGTGAGAAGGTGCTACAACTACTTGCATTAGATTGTTGACACATCAACTTGCACACCCATGTCTCAGAGAGAGTCGAACTCACAACCCAAGGTTGTAGACTTTGCTTGGAAGTCCTACTCACATGACACATAACACATAAAGGGTAAAAGTTCCATGATCATGACACATTCTTGAGCAATGTTGAGTCTTTCAATGTTTAGTATATATATTTCATAAGTACCATGAAACAGATTTGATATAATGGCAAATAAACAGAAGCAGGACATACCTCTTCATAAAAGGTCATGGCAGTCAAACGGTATCCTGCTAAGAGCAGATATTCCTTTACAGCACAGTTCAGGTCTTGGCGCTCCTTTGCCTTTAAGGGACCCAAATCAGAGAATGTCGTCTCCCTGCTTTGTTGAACATCGGCTCCATCTTTTGCGTTAGCATCTGCAGGCATATCACATTGCATGTTTTAAAGGAAGTAAATCCGGAAAACAAGAATAAGGTTATTTCATTAGAGCAGCAAGAAAATAGAATAAAGTATTAGGGGTTTTCAGCCACATTCAAAGTCCCAATGAACATAGTTGCACACTGTATGAACAGGGGGAAGTGAAGAAATATCACTTTTGGTTTTCCCATCTACATTCAAAGTCCCAAGATAGTTGCACACCAAGGGGAAAGTGAGATGTGAAGAAATATCTTGATATTTAACCAATTACACTGTGGTTGCTCACTCAAGTATGAATGTCACTAAACTTAATTTTCCTATAGCTGTTCACTGGAGAACGAAATACGGTTGAAGAAGAGCATATGATCATGGCTAGTTCTATCAAAACAACATTTGTATTACTCTATATAAAGGTCTTTTGCAAATAAACCAAATAGAAGCAAAGCAAATAAATTAGTTGTAAATAAAAGATGAAAAAGTATCTACCACTTGGTTCGTCCGTTCTGGCCTCACATTTCTTTTGCAACTCAGTCTTCAGCTTCAGAATGTCTTCTTGAGCCAAACGGTTCTCATAGTCTCTGATTGCTAGTTTCTCCGCTAGTGCTTCTTTTTCCTCTAGCAAACTCTGTGGGTCGGCAACTAGTTCACGTAAATGAAAAAGGAAATAAGCCTTCACAACGCGTACATTTACAACTAGGAACTATATGGTTATATTATAAAAACGGGGATTATAGTGATACCAACCATCAATAATTATACACAATTATCAAAGTTGAACCTCCAAATCAGCTATGACTATAGAGATGAATAGAATGCCTACACAGCATAAACTGTTACAACAGAGCAAAAATAATATACTTTTACCTAAAATGTACCCACCCAATAAATTATAATCACAATTGCAAAGAAGCACATGCCAACTCCCTCCCTCCCTCTCTTAAACATGTGCCTCCAGGTCTTCAACTACTGAGCTGCATGATTTTTGCCCATACTAAGTAATCTTAGTGGCTTAAAGCTGATCAATTCCATTCAAATTATGAGTGGTTAAAGTACTCCAGTGATACAGATGTTCTGTTCCAAGGTAATGTAGGTTTGGTTTGTGCCACAGAAGATAGGGAGTGATAAGCAGCTTGGAAAGGGGAGTAGAAAAAGGAGGAGGTCTGTGCTTCTAATGCCTTGCAAACTGTATATAAGTTCTAAAATGTTAAAAATACAATCGAGAATTCTACTGATACACCTATACAGATATAATTTTAGCAAAGCTTGGGGGAGCAGAATGATATCTTATGAATTTTTTATTACTTTGTTTAAATATGCCATCTAATACATTCTGCTGATCCCAGATGAAGCTTGCAAGTCTCTTATAGCTTCTTATTTCTTATAATATGCTATGAAATACAGAATGTTTAATGAACATGTAATTTAATTGAAATAACAAGCAACTGATTAGTATGACATACTATTGAGTACTGATCTAATTTACTAGACATACAAATGAAGCTTCTTCACATTGTTAAACTTAATCAACAACCTCCTAACTACTATTAGTTCGGCAACTAATGGAGAGACACGGACCAGACCGCATAAGAATACTGGAATAGAAAGAGAGAAGATATTCCTTGTAATCTCATCATTCCTAGGGTTTCGCCTTTCACCCCATGAATCTCCTAAAAAGAAAAAAGTTAACGACCACATAAACTAATATAACTCTACAGATGAGATCAAATTTGGCTCTCATTTCCATTTTCAGATTATAACAAGCCAAAATAAGGGGACAATCAGTTTCAACTATTATACAACATAATTAGTGATTATGAACTCCTAGCCGACAAACGAAGGCTGTATGGGTTTTCGAACCTAGTAATCGGTGGTTTCAGATCACATCCTGCTGCCATTTCAAATTTCAGATCATAATAAATTTAAAGGCAGGCATTGAGTCAAGGACAGCATTTTTAATGTTAATCATATAAACCAATCAGCAATTTGAACAAATTATATCAACCTCGAAGAGAATTAAACCGGGAGATCTGATCTGGCGGAAACTGAACGGGGTCGGCGAAGAATTCCTTGAGGCGAATAGCTTGATCGTCACGGCCATCGTCGAGAAGCTCGTGAAGCAGCTCAAACGCCGATAACAAGTAATTCTCTTCCAATAAGAAGTTTACTACGCAATTACACAGCGACGATTTCTCCACGTCCATATTTCTCTAATTAATCTATCGCAAAAACATCGAAATTTGAAATCTGTATCGCTCCGTGTTCGATTCGATGACGAAATACGTTTCATGAGATTTGAAGGTTTTAATAAGATCTGTTCATGGAGTCCGAGCTTGACGAAGAGTAAAAACTCGTTAGTCTCTCTGGAAGGAACAAAAACAGAAATCGACGATCTCGTGCGAGGCTATGGTGCTTCGCAACAAAACTTCTATTCCCTGCTCAAATCAAGATGGACGGCGGTCTTCCTAAGATGAAAAGCATGCCGTTGGATTAGATATTATTTGCATCCCTTTTAATGTCATAATCATAATCATAATTATAATCAGGTTAAGTCACATGCTTTTTTTTATCAAGCCAGGTATCCAGCCCGTCATGTGAGCCGACTAACCCAAGACGATCATATGTTTTGTGGATAGTCCAGAGTCACCGTATTTAAACATTCATGATCACAAGAGAATCTTTATTCCTCCTTAGATTTGAACTTGGAACCTTCAGACACTTTTGATATTTTGAGCTCAAGCTCAAACCAATCACGCATCACTTTGTGGTTGTCAAGTCATATATTAAGAATGTAAATAATGGATTTTGATATTGATGTATATGAGGAGGAAAGTATTAAATAGGGGTGTATTTAACGATGTATAGGAATTCAATGAGTCGCCCTATTGGTTTATTGGAATCCGAATTTGAAAGAAATAGGATGGTCAATTCCATTAACAAAATCTTATTCATCCGTTATGTTTATTCTTTGAGTTTTGTTTTCGAATTCCACACGTCATGAAATGTAAATTCCTTGGATTCTAAAAAAAAAAATTCAAATATTTCATTCCATTTAAATAAAAAAAAAACTATTTAACTCTTATATTTATTTCATTCATCTTGATGATTGTCATCACCATTGTCGTTGTTACCTTTGTGGTTACCACTACCATCGATACCACTACCGCCTCCACCACACTACCACTATTATATTGAACGAATCAAACAGATACATTCAATTTTTTTTTTTTTTTTTTTGAGATGTCAAGATCTCAAGTATTAAAATAATATGTTTTGAAAGTATGTTACCTGAAATATGAATCAAAACCTAACCCCGACTTTCTCTTTCTAACCCTTATGCTAACTTTGTGTTCTTGAGTCCTTCAGAGTTGTTGTGCCAAAATAAGGGCTACTTATGAAAAAGCAGAAAACTTATGGGTTAGTAATGAAAATAGAAACATACCAAGACCCAAGTTGCCAACTATCAATTATATATGGTGGGAAAACCAGAGACTTGGCACTCAGTCAACCCTCTAGTAGCAAAGATCGTTAAATCCAACAAAAAAACCTAATCCAAATAGTTTGAATCATTCAAATTACTTAACGGTACTGAAAACTAATCAAATTTGTTAAAAACGATAAACACATATGGTAATTTAGACGTGTCATCCATGTTGGGTTTGGGAACCTTGGTGCCAGACTCTTTTAGAAGCCGTGACTCACAAGACTCGAGATTTGGATTTGTTGTCATGTCATATCTCACGCCAGTTAAAACCTTGCTTACGTGTTTTGGTTTCGAGACTTTTACCGGATCCAGCAATCCACGTACGTAGCTTTTGGTAAAATGATTGAACCAAGACAAAACTAAGAGTGTTTTGATGTATAAGCGAAACTACTTTTTTGTCCATTTCAATACGTATACCGACAACAACGATGTATTCGGATAACATTTTTTTAGATAGGGCTAAAAAGGGAAGAAATGTTTTTGGTTACCCTCAGCTAGGGTAGCTATTGACCAATCAAATTAGTGGGTCCCATCAAGGGTATAAAGAATTAAAGGCTATCGATACTAACAATACCCACCAGTCATCAACCATTCTCCTTAAGCAAACGAAGAATCCTTCAACAATCTTCCGCAATTCCCACCACTGCAAACTCCAATTTCAACTCATTTTATCCATTGAAACTTTTCAGGTATGTGAAATCCTTATCTTATCTTGATTTCTAAGTTTTATCTTTCTTTATGGATGCTATGGCAAGCTCTACAGCCAGCTGTGTCGTACCATTACAGCAGGCTCTACAGTCTGCTGTGTCGTACCATTACAACAGGCTCTTCGGCTCTGTGTGTGTGTGTGAGAGAGAGAGAGAGAGATGTTGCAGAAGGTTGTACCTTTGGTATAGCAAATTGCAATGAAATCCACCTTTTGATTGAACTCAGATTTCTGGGTGTTCATTGTATCGATCCCAGAAAAGGTTTCTTGAATTTAAACAATTAAACCAGTATCAAACCAAGATTGATATTACTTCGTAGTTATACGATATCGGATGACTTTAGAAGGGATCTTATCCTAATAATCTTGAAATCGGAAGCAATTCATTTGGCATTTAGAAGTCAAATGTTGTACGGAAGCAAACCGTAATCAACACAGTTATGTTTATCGAGTATTTCTGCACTATTTTCACCTGATTATGTGGTTCAAATTCTTGAAGACAACTCCAAGAAGAGAGAGCAAAAGCAAATTCTTCACTTGAAGAGATCCTAAATGGAATCCTCAGAGGTACCAACCGTCTTTCATTGCAACCAAATCGTCGTTCTTAGTAAAAATGCTAAAAAAACACTAAACTTTATAAGAATAAGCGATTTCGGACGAAAAAATGCAAATCCAATGATCGTTTTTGCATTTTCATTTCCAAAACTTGTCCAAAATTGCTTGCTGTAACATATTCCCTTCGTCCCAACTCCCAAATAAGTGTCCAAAGTTCTATTTAGTTTGTCCCTTCGTTTTCAAAAGGAAATGTCCAGTCTCCGATTCTACCCTTAATTATGAGATGGAGAATTATCAATCACTCTCACTGTTAAAGGGTACATTTGTTATTGATGAAAAAGTGTAATAATTACGCATTTCTAAAACTATTATACTTTTTACATTGTGAACAGTAAAACTGCAGTGAGTGTTGCCATTTTTACAAAATTTATGGGTATTTTATGGCAGAGTTTGTGTGAATATGATCTTTTTGGTTCCTAATTATGTTTCTAATTCCTAAAAGGCACTTCCAACTTCAAAAAGAGAGAGAGTTGTGGATTCCACGAAATCCCGAGCCGAATCCGAGCTTTCCGATGCACGAAAAACAGTTCGAGATCTGGCTCTGAAGATCGAAGAAGCAAACTCAAGGGCCAAAATAATGCAGCAGATAACTACGAAACAGCATGATTCTTGTTCACAACAAAAAGTATCGTCGATGAACAAGGAGGATCGTCAGTATGCACAAGTGATGAAAGAAATCGAACACATCAAACACGAATTGGGTAAACTGAGAATCGACATGACTCATATTTTGAAGAAGAAGAAAAACGCAGAAAACGCATTCATAGCCACGAATTCTAAGAACTCTACACTTTCGAGCGCCGCAGAAAGAATCAAGAAAGAGATTGAAGAGCTCGATGAAGAGCACGTTCTTGTTGAATTAGCACGAATCGAAGCCGTCAAAGAATGTGCAGCCATTGAAGCTCAGAGGAAGGAAGAAGCTAATCGCTACAAAACCGAATTGGATGAAATCAAAAAGAAAGTCGAAGAAATTATCCAACAGAACGAAATGACAAAAGAGCTCCAACTAACACTTTATAACGTGAACTCGTTACAACATGAACTCGTCAAAGTTAAGGAAACGGATAAAACTCCCATTCAGCTACTAGCAATCACAGAAGAACTGGAATCAGCAAAAGCAGAACTTGCCAACATTAAACGGGAAGGTTTTGATTTCATGGCTTCCATGGATGTCATCAGAAAAGAGATCAGAAGCATTCGAGAAGAAACAGCTCGGTTGGAGAAAGAAAAAGAGAAGCGAGACTTAACCGTTCAGACCCTCAACTCGAAGATATTAAAGGGGAAAGCCAAACTAGAATCCATTACAGCTACCACAGAAAAAGCTAATGCAATTGGATCGAATCTATCACTCACAGTTGAACACTTACGAGCAGAATCCGAGACAGCAAAGAAAGAAAATGAGCTTATCAATGAAGAAATCAAAAACCTCAAGCTGGAAATTCCTAAAACCGAGTGTGAAATAGAATTATCCGAAGAAAGATTAGAAGCAGCCATGGAGGAGCTCAAAACAGTGAAATCATCAGAATTTAAAGCTCTCGAGAATCTCAAAAATCTGATTGATTCTACAGTACGAGCCAGGGAGTCGGCCACGCTAAATAGCTCAACGATAACAATCACCAATTTCGAATACGGGTATTTAACGGGAAAGGCAGGTGGGGCCGAAGAGATTGCCGATAAAAAGGTTGCTGCAGCTCAGGCTTGGGTGGAAGCCTTAAAGGCGAACGAAAAGGAGATCTTGATGAAAATCCAAATGGCTAAAAGGGAAATTAGAGAGCTCGACATTGAGGTAGAGGAGGAAAGGGGAGAGGCATATGGAACAGATTTAAGTGTCAGCAGAAGGCGGTCCGTTGATAGCGAGTCAAATAGATGGGCGCAAAATGGGGCAAAAGTTTTGGCATCACCTCGGAGATCAGTGTACAAAATTGGAAATATGACGCCTGGGAAGCGAGGTAGATCACAAAAGTTGCTATCTCCGGCAACCCGGCAAGCGATTAAATCAGCTTCTTTCACTAAAAAAAGGGAAAAGGTTACACGAAATCTAGCAAAATTCGTGGGTGACGAAAACGCTGAAATGGATGAGTGAATTCTTGGAACGTATGACTACTCGTAATGTTCAACGACATTGTTTATGTTGTATATAGAGTATTGCATATAGATCTAGGTTTTTTAAGTGTAAGTCCACACCTAATTCTCTAAATAGTCCCTTTCCATCATATCATTGGATTTCAACGATAATCATGTGTAATCAAGTGAAATTTTTTAAATCCAGAATCATAAAACCAAATAAATCCCATGAAGAGATGCACAGAAGAGCCCAAACCCAAAGCCCGACCCTAGGCCTAGGCTCGCGCTTACTGGGCCCAGTTAAAGCCCAGCCTGAAAACCCAATAGGACCCTCCTTCAACCCCAAAGCCCCGTCCGGCCCCAAAGAGCCCGAGCTTTTTTGGTTGACTGAAAACGGGATTGAAAGGCCCAGGCCCGAAAAAGCACCAGTTGAACAAGCTCTAATGCTTTTTTAAAAAGCTTTTACATGTAATAAACAAATGGAAACAAGAAACATATACTGTATACTATTATCCATATGATATAACACATTAACACAAAGAGAAAAGAGAAAAGAGAACCCCTCCATACGAAACAGGGGTGTTGTCAAACAAAGAAATGAAATTGAATAGAATAGACGACTAAAATAGGATCATAAAAACACATACCGAAACCAAACTTCCACTTTATAAGCACACTCTTCTAAGAAAACTTGGCAGCTGCGTTATTGTTGTGGCGTCCCAATCTGCAGCGGTGTTGAGGGATCCGACAACACCACTCCGGCTTTCGCCACAGTTTCATATTTTGGAGGCGGAAATGCAGGCGCTGAAGGCTGGCTCTTATATATCTGAGCATAAGCAAGGTCATTGTCATAATCATTCTCGTAAGTAGGGGTTGTGGTGGCAGTAGGGCCCACTGGTTGCACCGAAGGTACCCGGTTAGATGGAGCGGCTCGTTCCGGTATCGGCTGAGATAACGTCACCTCCTTATAAGCCACATGGGAATTTGCAATGTGAGTGGGCAAAGGAGGACGACGTAAAGATCCGGTTACACTGCCATTTACATCGGATGGAGCGGAAATGTTGTAAGATTGATCTGTGGGTCCCACAGGCATCACATAGATGGGGTAGGGCTGATTTGGTTGCTGCTGGTAGGGCATGTACATCGGGTAGTAAGAGGAGATGGGCAATGGCCCTGTTGGGTATTGTATGTAATGCGGTGATCCAGTGTGAATATATTGCACGGGATGCTGTCGTTGGTCAGGGATGTGTGGCATCGGATAACCAGGAACTTGAACGGTTTTCTGCATCTGGATCGTGGAGGAAGGATTGTAGATGATACTCTCTGACTCATGAAGCACTTGATCTTGATAAATCCGGGGCTTTAGATCGGGAAAAGCACTTGCCGCAGAATTATCACTGTCAATTATCAAAAGATGAAAGTATTAGTATGGCTTGCTTACTTCAAATCACTAAGGTCCCGTTCGGTTTGCGGGACTTGGTTGGATTTGGTGGGATTTGGAATTGGATTTCATTCCAATCCTGCGTTTGGTTTAAAGGAAAGTCTGGAAGCGAAATCCCGGGATTTCAATGAAATCCCACAAACATGGATTTAGAAATCTCGTCGGGGTAGTTGGTAATAGAAAGGTGATTTATTTATTTTTATGATTTGTTCTTACAGGTTATCTATAAAGAACGAAATCCAATTCCATTCAAATCCTACAAACCAAACACACCAAAGATTCCAAATCCTTTCACATAATCCAAATCCCTGAAATACATTCCGTCAAACCACCCCCTAAGGATGCATTACAAGGGACAGGACACAAATAACAAAAACTTTGTTGCTCCATGTTTGGTGCTACGTTAGACCAGGATAGGACATAGACTACGACTAGAATAGGTGGAAACAAATATAAGAGACATAGGACAAAATTGGTAAATTACTAAACTACCCATGTCAAATTAAAACCCTAAAACTTTTCACGATTCTTTCACCCGCCTACCTGGTTCTCGTCCGTCCAGTGCAGTCCATTCCAATCATACCAAACGCACCCTAAAATCCTTGCTTCATCATACAAATAAGACAATTCTCTTGATCTCAGTATTCGATTCATGTTAAACCAGATGCTACACTCTTCTTATTTACATGTTTTTTGTTGGTCTAACATTTACCCTTGAATCTTGATCATAGCAGGTTCTAGCACCTATCTATAGAACTTGTGTTTCAACTTTTGTGAGACTTCTGTAACACACAAAACTCTCAGCCATCATTTCATCCACCCTGCTCTTATTCTACACCTAAAATCCTTATCTATCTTATTGTCATTTTCAAACGACGACCCCAAATAACGAAAAGATACCTCCTAATTTCTTTATGTTCAGACATAATCGCCGCATCTCAAAGTTGTATCTCAAACATGCATTCATCCATAACAGAAGAAAAACCATAAAAATCAGCCCCAACCCTTGATTCACCCGAAATCATGTTCTGTGATAAGATGAGTCTTGCCATACCATGTCAAAATCTACTCCCATCCCTAATGTCAAAATCTACTCCCATCCCACATTATTCTATGGAAGTTGAGTTAGAGCCAAGAATAGATGATTGCAAACTTGGCTCAAAGATATGCAATAGTCTTCAGCCATTTATCACAGTAACTATTTTGAAATTCTACAGATTCAGACCATCTGTTTTGTAGATAAAGAATACAATAAAGAATTTTTTGTTGTTTTTCATTACACCCTTCACCCAAATCTCAGAATTCAGATAGTTTAAATTTAGCATGGCTAAATAAATACTCAAGAAATCAAGCAGAACATGAATTATAAGCATAAGTTGAGATTCAATCGTCATACCTTTCAATTGAACCAGGTGCAACCACTTTAACCTTCCTCTCCACCAAATTGCTACCACCATCCTCATTATTAACCCCAATTGGAGGCAAATTTGAGGCCGAAACGGAGGAATTGATTGACCCAAAAGACGAACATGTCTCCAAAACCATCGATTCTGGCACCGAACCCGAATCACCACCAGTTCCACCACATTTTCCCGAATCCCCACTATTCATCAAACTCTCACCATTTCCTTCCAAACAATCCAACCCCATCAAGCCGTTACCCATACCCGACCCGTCAGACAACCCTCTGTTAATAATCATGGTGCTTTTCAACGCATCCGAAAACCAGGATTCTGATTTCGGGTCAAGCAACAACGAGCCGACGGACTCGGGTCGGGTAGGGAAGAGGAATAGTCTGATGCGTGAGGGTGTAGGGGAAGTTGCAATTCGGTCATGCTCTTCAAGCATGTTCTGGAGATCTTCATCAGTGGTGATGGAAATGAGGGAATCGAGGTCTTCGTTGGGGAGCTGATACTTAAGCGTAAAAGGGCGGTTACCATAAAGTGTGCGGGATAGATGGTGGGTGAGTGCGGATATGGTGGAAGCTGTGGTGCGACGGTCAACGGCGACGATGCGGGTCTCTCCTCCGGCGTAGCAAAGAGATTTTGTTTGTGGACGGGGGACTATGTGGCCGCCGTAGCTGCACATAAGGCGGATTTTGGGTGTAGGTAAAGGTGGGAGACAGTGGGTGTGAGAATGGGAATGTGGTGGTTCGACGGCGGTGGTGGCGGCGGTGGTTGGTGGCGGGTCCATCGCGGTCAAGAAGATCTTGTGGAAGGGATTTTCGTAAGCTACCGCTTCTCTTGCAAGGTGTTGGGCTCCTACTAAAAGAGTATATAATTAAGCAAGTTGTTGTTTGGGTCACCGCTCGGTGACATAAGGACTGTCACCGACATGTTTATCGTCGCTAAAATTTTATATAAATATATCTATACTATATTATAAAATATTTGATAAAAATTTTTAAAAATTATTTTTATATATGAAGTATTATTAATTAATCCATATTATTTAAAAATTAAAATTACAGGTAAATTGTACGTAAGTATAACTTATTAAAACTTCATTTTTGAATTCATATAACTAATTGCAGATTAACGCAATCAAATACAGAATAAACATCTCATTTTAMATATAAAAAATCTAAAACATGGTCAGAATAAGCAATTAGTTCTAACATAATCATTATCTTTATAAAAAATATATGTTAAACCAAAAATAATTTACTTCGCTATTAGACCTAAATTAAATTATAATAAAAAATTGAATTATACAAAAATTCGAGAACTTTTAAATAGTTTATTTGATTTTAATATTGATATATTTTTTCAAATTTATTTTTGTTCAAAAGTAAAAACATTATTTTTTATCAAAATCACATAAATTATGTTATATTGATAGATATATAAAATAAAACGAAGCATTAAATGAAGATGTATCTCGCTACATTGTGCGAGTACCTTTTTAGTTATTATTAAATACATTTTCATTCATGAACAATGTGTTTTTTCATACTAGATGTTAATACGTTTTAATTACTTTTTTTAGTGAACAATATTATCTTATGAAACAATAAGATATAAGATTTGATCACGTTAAATGTTGACAACGAAAATAGTATAGAATTTTAGAAATATGAAATTATTACTTTTTTTAATAACTAAATAATAATTTCTATTTTTTGATAATAGAAAAAAAATTCAATTTTATAATTAAGGGTAAAATAAGAAATATTAAAAACTTAAGGACCGTTTACCAAACGTTTATTCGTGGAGTAAAATGACATAACTCATTTGTTAAATACAATTTGTATTATTTTTTTCCTTTATTTTCTTGTTCTTTTATTTTTCCTTCTCTTTGTTATGCTTCCATTTCAGTCTGCTTTTCTGTTTTTATTATGTTTTGTATTTTATTTTTCTGAGATTTGTTGTTTTTATTGGTGTTTGAATGATTGGATACATTATTCTTAATTTAACTATAATATAATATATATATATATATATATATTTTTTTTTTTTTTTTTTTTTGCGTGTGTAGTAGGTATGAATTATGATTACCATGACTTTAAATTATAATAACCAGTTTTGTAATGTTGGATAAATCCAGTTTAACTTCTATGACTTTGAGGAAGAGGAAACTTTGAAGGTAAATAGAAAATTACATAAATCTCCTTAATGGTTTTAATTATCTAGTTTTTGAACGTTTGCAATAATCACTTTCTAAATATATATTTTAATTAGTTATTCTTTAAATACTAAACTTGTGGGCAGGGTGTATATAAATTCGATAATCTTTTCTCAAACTCAAACTCGATTCGAAAACTCGTGAGTAGTAAAAAACTTAACTTAAATCGAACTCGATTGCGACTTTGTGAACTCGAGCTCGAACTCGTTTGAACTTCTGCTTGAACCAAAGTCAAACTTCTACTCAAATCAAGTTCATCCGTCGAAATTTATGAAATTTTAGAGTCTTTTCTTATAAATTATAAAACTTAAAGGTCTTCTCTTAAATTTTAAAAAAACTAAAGGGATGCGGTTCAAACTTACTTCTTATACTTTTTATGACACATTTCATCGTTCTTATACCATTTTTAATGTAGGAGAGCTTTACCAATACTTTTTAGTTTTTTTGTCTTTTTTCTAATAATGATTTTAATTAAAAAAAAAAAGATTATTGATTAGTTTTTATAGTTAAAAATGCACAATATTGTTCAAATATCAAAAATTATAAGACATTTTTATTACATTATATTATACATATTATATTATGAAACTGATTATATTTTCAAAACTAATTTTATATAAGAAATCGAGTATCTCACGAGCTTTTCGAGTTACGAAAATTGGTATCTAGACTTGACTCGTTATTATGTCGAGTTGAGTTCAAGTTTGAGTGGAGCTTATTCAAGTCAAGTATTGACTGAGTCGATCTCGAGTAGCTCGTGAGTTGTCTCGTACCATTTACACCCTACTTGTGGGTAAATGTATATAGAGACATGCTCATATGATAACCGTATATATTTTGGAAACCGAGAAACCAACTATTTTTTATAGTGAATAATCATGAATTCATGCATTTTTTATTATTCGTGATGTGATGCTTATTATCTCCATATCATCAGTGGCAGAGCCACGTTGTTGCCAGAGGGAGCAACTGCTCCTCCTGAATCATTCTATTTATCATACAGTGGTTTCAAAACACAGTGACTTGTCAAGATACAAGATAGTGCAATCGTCACATACGATAGTAGTGGGTAAAAATGAGGAAAATCACGACTAATATACACCTATTTATTTATACTCTTTAGTCAATTTTTAAAAGTAAACCTCAAAATTTTAAACTATTACAATGTAATCCAATTTATATATTTGCATGTTTACCAAACGCTTACTTAAATAAGTGAATATCAAGTCACATTACCTTACCGGATGAATATGGTAAGAACAAAAAATCTTACCCAGTAAGAGCGAGACAAGGATCAAGAGTCTTACCCGGTAAGTGAGGGCGACGACTCTTACCACGGTAAGCGCTTGCCGGGTAAATTATTCCATACGATACCGTTTTTGTGAACTAAAATCTTACCTGGTAAGTCAATGATAATGTTAAATTTTGTCGATAAACACTTACCGGATAAGTGTTTGGTAAACGGCCCCTTAATTCTATATAATGTTTGTTTCATGTTAGCATCACAGTTGAATATGCTAGATTGACAATGTTTTTAATGAATTTAAAATTTTAAAATAATCGATTTTAGAACAAAATTAGGAAGGAAAAAAACCAGTGATCTAATCTTTATGATATAAGTTGAAAATTTTATTATGTTATTAAGTTGTTCGTGACTTTGGTCATTAATTTTAACCGATTCGATTTTAGAAATGGTTATTGATATATTGTTATTTGTTAAGTGATAGTTCTAGTTTATTTTATATCAGCTAGTTTAACAGTTAACATCCTTTGAAAAAAGTATCTGACAAAAAAAAAAAAACAACAACTGTTGATTAATCATTTATGCCGTATAAAAATAATTCTGATAATAAAAGGACGATACAAGTATTTTACTAGTTTACCTTTATTTGCTATTTTAAGAACATTAATATTTAATTTGATTTATTTATATTTAGTGGTCCTCCTAATCCGCAATCTTGTCTCCGCCCGATATCATGCATGTCATTATACTTATCATATGTGTCATTGTTTTTCCATAATAAATAGTTTTTATAATTAATATCTTTTTTATGACATTTTTCATAATAGTTTTTATTATTAAAGTAACTAGTATGGGAACTGTGCGTTGCGCGGTAGTATGAGTACTTTGATTAATGATCTGAAGATTGTTTATATAAATATATATTAGTTGTTAATAAAATCATCAACAAATAGTATTCAAATAATTCGAAAAA